AGAGTTAATTACCGAACCCCCCATCCCCCGTAGAATCTTAACACGGGCGGTTTGCGGGGTCCGCGGATCCGATTTCTTCCGGCTCCCTGTTTTAATTTAATTATATAATTTAAAACAGGGTAGAAATCGGATCCGCCGTGAAAAATAAGACCGGACACGGATCCAGCAAATCCGAAATCGGATCCGCGCGGACAGAAATCGGATCCACCGAAACACACCAAAACCAAAATTGGATCCGCGCGGCCTTCATTGGATCCGACGGTGGGTATCTCACACGCGTCTGCTTCGGACTTCGAACCTTCGTTCTGGGCCCAAGAGGAAAAAACTTTCGTCCTGGGGATGAGCGTTTTGGCCTTCGGACACGTTGGTTGCCACGTTGTCCACGCACCAGACATCGCCACAAATTCCCCGCAACCTTCCTGCTCGAGACGTCCTCGCAACACTCGGAAGAAGACTCCCGCCCGTTGATTCGAGTTCTCGTTCGGGGCGTCCTCGCGAAAGCTTGCGTTTCGGATTCGGAGTCGTGGTGGGCCACGCCTGAGCCCGCCAACCAGGGGAAGGCCTCCTTCGTTTCTGGCGTTGCGCTGGCCTCCAGATCAACACGGCGAGATCGAAAACGGTCGCTGGCAACGTCGTCCGAGGCATCCGCAAGACGTGCAGGGAGATCCACGCCCATCGGAGGTGGGGCTGCGAGGCGGGGTTGAGCGCGGGCGCGCGCCCGCGCGCGGCCTCGGCGACCGGCGGCGGCCGCCGTCCGCGTGCACGTGGATCGGCGAGGCGAACATGAATGATGTTAGTGTGCACGCGCATGAAACGGCAAATGTTAATGATGTTCAGTTGCACGCGCACGACTCGGTGAGGCGCCTCATCCGAGAGCCAAATTTGAAAATCGATCGTCGCCGTCGCCTCCGGCGCCGGCGACGCCCTCCTCGTGCTCGTTCGGCGGCGACCGCGCGAACGTCATTGGAGTTGCGACGACGGAGCCCGCGCCGAGCGCGGGGCGCCGCCTCGTCGCGGGAGAGAGCGCAGAGGCCGTCCGTTGGGTCAGGAGACGCAGGGCCGAACCGCACTTACGCAGGACGAAAGATTTTCCTCTTGAGGTGTAAATGGCCATGAGGAGTTCGCAAGACACCGTCGGCGCCGGAACGGACGGCGACCAGACGAGCTGTTTGCAACCGGGGTGAGAGGGATGTATGTATTCATTTCGAATGGGACCCGCGCGCGCGGGGAGCTGGTGGGCGTGCGCGAGACGACGCAACGCCCATCGTGGAGAGTTAATTACCGAACCCCCCATCCCCCGTAGAATCTTAACACGGGCGGTTTGCGGGGTCCGCGGATCCGATTTCTTCCGGTTCCCTGTTTAATTATATAAATTTAAAACAGGGTAGAAATCGGATCCGCCGTGAAAAATAAGACCGAACACGGATCCAGCAAATCCGAAATCGGATCCGCGCGGACAGAAGTCGGATCCACCGAAACACACCAAAACCAAAATTGGATCCGCGCGGCCTTCATTGGATCCGACGGTGGGTATCTCACACGCGTCTGCTTCGGACTTCAAACCTTCGACACACAAATGAGGTTTTCTTCGGATCCTTGGGATTTCATTGGATCCGACGGTTGCGTCCGGACTTCGAACCTTCGTTCTGGGCCCAAGAGGAAAAAACACGTTTTGGCCTTCGGACACGTTGGTTGCCACGTTGTCCACGCACCAGACATCACCACAAATTCCCCGCAACCTTCCTGCTCGAGACGTCCTCGCAACACTCGGAAGAAGACTCCCACCCGTTGATTCGAGTTCTCGTTCGGGACGTCCTCGCGAAAGCTTGCGTTTCGGATTCGGAGTCGTGGTGGGCCACGCCTGAGCCCGCCAACCAGGGGAAGGCCTCCTTCTTTTCTGGCGTTGCGCTGGCCTCCAGATCAACACGGCGAGATCGAAAACGGTCGCTGGCAACGTCGTCCGAGGCATCCGCAAGACGTGCAGGGAGATCCACGCCCTCGGAGGTGGGGCTGCGAGGCGGGGTTGAGCGCGGGCGCGCGCCCGCGCGCGGCCTCGGCGACCGGCGGCGGCCGCCGTCCGCGTGCGCGTGGATCGGCGAGGCGAACATGAATGATGTTAGTGTGCACGCGCATGAAACGGCAAATGTTAATGATGTTCAGTTGCACGTGCACGACTCGGTGAGGCGCCTCATCCGAGAGCCAAATTTGAAAATCGATCGTCGCCGTCGCCTCCGGCGCCGGCGACGCCCTCCTCGTGCTCGTTCGGCGGCGACCGCGCGAACGTCATTGGAGTTGCGACGACGGAGCCCGCGCCGAGCGCGGGGCGCCGCCTCGTCGCGGGAGAGAGCGCAGAGGCCGTCCGTTGGGTCAGGAGACGCAGGGCCGAACCGCACTTACGCAGGACGAAAGATTTTCCTCTTGAGGTGCAAATGGCCATGAGGACTTCGCAAGACAACGTCGGCGCCGGAACGGACGGCGACCAGACGAGCTGTGTGCAGCAACCGGGGTGAGAGGGATGTATGTATTCATTTCGAATGGGACCCGCGCGCGCGGGGAGCTGGTGGGTGTGCGCGAGACGACGCAAAGCCCATCGTGGAGAGTTAATTACCGAACCCCCCATCCCCCGTAGAATCTTAACACGGGCGGTTTGCGGGGTCCGCGGATCCGATTTCTTCCGGTTCCCTGTTTTAATTTAGTTATATAAATTTCAAAAGCAGGGTAGAAATCGGATCCGCCGTGAAAAATAAGACCGGACACGGATCCAGCAAATCCGAAATCGGATCCGCGCGGACAGAAATCGGATCCACCGAAACACACCAAAACCAAAATTGGATCCGCGCGGCCTTCATTGGATCCGACGGTGGGTATCTCACACGCGTCAGCTTTGGACTTCAAACCTTCGTTCTGGGCCCAAGAGGAAAAAACTTTCGTCCTGGGGATGTATTTTTAAACAGTTTTTCTTAAAATTCGGGAGTATCTTTGGGAGTATTTTTATTTTTCGTCGAAAAATCCCCCTGTGGGGGGACACGCCCGGCTTAAATCTAGTCAGCACGTCTGTGCCTTAAGATATGGACGACGTTCACCCGCCGATGTTCCGACGTGAGTCCGACCTGAATCCGACGTGCACCCAGCGTACATCCGACGTCACGTGGCCTGAACCCGACGTAATTCCGACGTGAATCCGACGTAAGTTGGGTCTCAAGTTGCCGCGCGAGACCTCCAGGACGTTCCTCATGACAGCGCGCCTGGCCAGGGCCAGCATCCTGTCGGCGGCGAGCGAGGGGGGGAAGTGAGAAGGGGCGGGTTTTCTCGGAAGGCTCGGCAGCCCCCCGGCCCTCCGAGGAGTTTTCTGGGCCCTCCCCGAAGCCAGAGCGAACAGTTCTCCGAAGGCGCGAGGGCCCTTGAGCAGCCCCGCCGCCTTCCGAGAAGGCCTTCTGCTCCTCGCCTCCCCCCCCCCCCGCTCGCCGCCGATCCTGGGCCCCCTTGGAGTCAAGTCGGGCGTGGCCCTCAGCAGGGGGATCTTCGACGAAATCAAGAAGAAGACCCAACAAATGCTCACAAATTGTCAAACAATATTGAAAAATAGTACCCTGACTATTTTTTGACTCAGTGCCGTTTTTCAGATATGCTCCACGTGCGGATCATGTATTGTAAATGCAGGGATTTAGCATTCAAAAACAACGATGAGTTCATGTATCTAGGTATTCATGCATCCAGTTCATTCACAAATCAATCGTGTATTGAAAATCCAACATGTTTTATCCTATGTATTTAAAAAACTGCCCTGTGTTCCCCCTGTAGGGGGACACGCCCGACCTAACCCCTGGAGGGCGGTGCCTCGGCGACCCTCCCCGGCCTCGGCCGGGCGGCCGCTTGCCGGCACCGCACGCCCGCGCCCGGGAGGGCCCCCCGGCGGGGCACGCGGCGGTGGCCCCCGTGAGGCGTTTCGGGCAGGGGCCCCGCCGTCGAGACATCGAGGGGCTGGCACAGGATAGGGTCGGGCTGGCATAGGATAAAGTCGAGACAGGGGGAATATTCAAAAATAGACCAAGAATGGTCAGGGGACGCCCAGGGCAGGGGCCCCGCCGTCGAGACATCGAGGGGCTGGCACGGGATAGGGTCGGGCCTGTCCCACCACAGGGGGGAGATTCAAAAACAGATTAAAAAATGGTCAGGGGACGATTTTTTGACTATGTCTGGCCATTTTGGAATATGTTTGGGCCATTTTCTTTTTTCGTCCGAAAACCACCTGTAGAGGGACATGCCCGACCGAAGCATAGGAGGCGGAGGAGGAGGAAGCAGAGGAGAAGGAGGAGGGGGAGGAGGGATTGGCCTCTCCGCCCAGGGCGGAGGGATTGGTCTCTCCGCCCAGGGCTCGCCCTCAGCGGTGCTCTGGCGATTCCGAGGACTGCTTTCGCTCGGGTCCCGTGCTGCGGCAGCGGCGAACAGTGTTTCGGTCGAGCCTTGTCTCAGGAGGGAGAAAAACACACAGACACAATTCATCTTCGATTCCCCAGAAAATATAGGAAAATATGGGAAGTGGGGGGGAAGACAAAAAACTATGAAAAAAATGGGAAAATATGGGGAATCATTTTATTTGTGTGTATTTATTTGCGTGTCCTGGGGCCCCTTCACTGTCCCTTTGCCGGCGGCGGGCGGCAGAGAGGGCCGCGCGAAGGCCGGCGGACATCGCGCAGACGGGGGCGCCTGCGCCAGCGGAGGCTGGCGGAAGGCCAGCGCAAGCCGCCCGCAGGTGAGGGCGACGGTCCTGGCAGAAAGCGCGGCCCGCGACAGCTGCGCTCGCCGCGCTCACAGTGGGGGGACCCCGAGGCGTAAGTCGGGCCTGTCCCTCTGCAGGAGGAATCTTCAAAAATAGTTTAAAAGAATAGTCCGGCGTCTATTGTTTGGCTGCCTTTTGATCATATGGGGGCATTCTTTGAGTATTTTCTACTTTTCGCCCAACATCCCCCTGTGGGGGGACAGGCCCGACCTGACCCGAGGCGTGTCAGCGACATCGTCTCGCTCTTCGAGGGCCAGGACTCGGCCAGGGGTGCGCCGGGCTCGGCGCCCCTGTTCCCGTGCGGCCCGGCGACGTCGCGGCCCCAGCGGCTGCCCCGCCCGCCCTGGCTCCGTCCCTCCGTCCTCCGTCCGTCCCTGCTCGTCTCTCTCTCTCTCTCTCACTGTGTGTGTGTCTCTCTCTCTCTCTCCCTCTCTGGCTCTCTCTCTCTCTCTCTTGCTCCGTCTCTCCCCCTCCCTCCCTCTCTCTCTCCCTCGCTCTCTCACTGTTTGTCTCTCTCTCTCTCTCTTGCTCCGTCTCTCTCCCTCTCTCTCTCCTCTCTCTCTCTCTATTCTCTCTCTTTTGTTTTTCGGTTACGCGCTTTTTCTCTTCCTCTCTCTCTCTCTCTGATGAAACGTGTACACATGTAATGGCATCCTGCTCATAGGTTTGCAATGGCCTTCGGCCCATCCGGGCATTGTGCCTGGGCTGTGGGTGTGGAGCTTATTGGATGTTCGAGGGAATCTCGTGGGAGGTCTCTCGCGGGGGCCTCTTGGATGCAGTTTTGAAGTCTCTTGGGAGCCGTTTTGAAGCCTCTTTGGGCCACTGGGGCGCCTCTGGGGGCCTCCTAGGGACCTCCTGGGGGCCTCTTGGAGCGGAAGGCTCGGATTTTCGGTTCGTGTTCCCTCTCTGGGGCCCCTTTTGGGGCCGTCTTGGAGCCCTCTTGGGCCGTCATGGGCACCTCTTGGAGGGGGGGGGTCCTCTTGGGCCTTCTTGGGGCGCCTTGGCGGCCTGGGGCGGTCTTGGAGGCCTCGTGGGCCGTCTTGGAGCGAAACAGCGAGAATGCCAACAACTGTTCAAACATCTGAGGACAATCAATGATGTTGGCTTCTTGGGGCCTTCTTGGGAGGCCTCTTCGAAGCCTCTTGTGGCATCTTGGGGGCCTCTTGGGCCGCCTTAGGGGCCTTCTTGCGCGTTTCGGGGCGGTCTGTTCGGCGACTCGGGGCCCTCTTGGACCGACTCGGGGGCCCTGTTGAGGCCCTCTTGGCCCGCCTTGGGGCCCGCTCTGGGCCCGAGAGAATTCACGCGGCAAGATGTCGGGACCCCCAGGGTGGCACGCGCCCCGCCCCAAGGGAGTTTGGGAATTCGGGCCCCGCCCTCCTAAAGCACTCTTCAGGACTATGGACTGGGGCTCCGGGGATTGGGCAGAGAACCTGAGGACACGCCCATTCCGTGCCCAGCGGCACGTTGGCGGATATAAACATGCATGCACACTTCTATACATGTATCTATATGTGTATATATATATATATATATATGTCGGCGGTGCGCCGTGGCACGAACCCCCCCCCCCAGCACTACCGGGGGGTTTCGTGCACTACCGGGGGGTTTCGTGCAGCCCGCACCGGGTGCCGCCAGCGGCTTAGAACACCCCCCCCTTGCCGCTTTACCGGGGGGGTTCGTGCAGGCCGCACTGCGTCTACCTGGGCTCCCCCCCCCCCCTGTGGGAGTGGGGGGGTGGGAGTGGGGGGTGGGTTGGGGGGGGCAGGGGGGCGGTTGGGAAGGGTGGCTCCCTGTCGAAGTGTGGCGTGTGCTCGCCTTGTGTTCTCTATTCGCGTCTGCTCGCCTTTGTTCCGCCGCAGCCTCTCGTATTGTGGCTCGTGGTCACAATACGAGAGGCTGCGGCGCAAATCCCGAGAGCCGCTGTGGGGGGTCGACGGCACGGCCGCGTAGAGAAGAACAGTGCCGCCGTGTTCCGGCACGGCCCTGGGATGCAATGCCGCCGCCGTGTTCCGGCCCGTCCTGGTAAGATTCGCGCGTCGGGGCTGGGTTTCGCGCGTGCTGGGAGCGCGCCGCTTACGGAGGGGTTGCGTCCTTACCGGGGGGTTTCGTGCAGCCTACCAGAGGAGGTCGTGTTTACCGGGGGGTTTCGTGCAGGCTCGCACCGGGAATGGCGCCAGCTCGAAACCCCCCAGGAGAGATTACCGGGGGGGGGGTTCGCTCCGCACCGGGCACCGCCGACATATATATATATTTATATATATATATATATATGTGCACATGTATATGTATGTCTATATGTTTATATGGGTGTGTGCATATATGGATCAATATCGTTTTGGTTAGTATTCCCCCTTCCCTCTCTATGCATACAAATTTGTATGCTCTTTCATTACATTGCGCATTCGATAGTTGGGGTTACGATGCGAACGTGACTTCCAGATGCGCACGCGGATTCTTGTGTCGGCGCTTGTCCCCCCTGCGAAGCGCGCCAGGGGCTGCGCCAGAGGCGGAGCGGGTCGAGCGCCGACCCGAGAGATCTGCGCGACACTCCGAGAGTTTGTGTTTATGCCGTCCCTTCTCCTCCACCTCGCCGCTCGCGCGACTCCCCGAGACCTGCCTCCGGACCTCCCCACCCACCAAACCACCCCAATCCAACCCGAAGGCCCAAATTGATCCTCGATTTCCAGTTTGGGGGGGGGGTCGGGGAACATTGACAAAACACATGGACCCCGTACCCCCCCCCAACCCGAAATTCGGGTCAAGTTCGGGTCTTGGGTTGGGTTGGGGTGGTCTGGTAGGTAGTCCTGACCTCCCTCCCCCCTGCTCTCTCTCGCTCTGGGACGGCGCACCCGCAGCGGCACGGAGCGGCGCGCCTCTCGGCCGCCCCGGGCTGCCGGACATTAGGGGGGGGGGTGCACGCGGCGCCCCTGTGGCGGGGCGACGCCGCTCCGCGTCCGTGCGCCGGCCCCCGCGGAGGAGGCACGGCTCTCGGAGGACCCTGGCCTTCCAGAGAGCTGTTTTTTAGCACTGGAGGCATAAAAACCTAAAAAGCTGAGCGAAACTGCCTAAAACCAAGACGTAGAATGGCTCTAGGATCGGTTTTTAGGTCGGGTGCTGTTTTTCTGGCCCTCCTGGAAGGTCAGGGGATGGGGGGCAGCGCAGCGCCCCCAGCAGCGCCGGCTCCCGGCAGCCCGTGCTGCGCTGCGCGGCGGGACGAAGCGCTCGGCAGCGCTCGGACGTATGCATTTCTCCCTCGGCGAGGGCCATCGAGGAGCACCCTTGATCATTTGGCGAAAAAGCCACGCACGAAACCGAAAAAAAAACACAAGGAGTGGACGTCCGAGCGATGGCCAGAGCGAGGGCGGCGAGGGAGGGGGACGCGAGCAGACGACGGCGAACGCGCAGGCGGGAGGCCGGGGCCGGCGGGACGAAGCGGGCGGGCGGGCCGAAGCGGGAGGGGACGGAGGCGAGGCAGCAGGCGGGCAGCAGGGGAGGAGGAGGGCGAGGGAGAGGGGGCGGAGGGCGGAGGGGGGAGCCACCAGCCGGGAGACATTGGACTGCGGAGGCGTCGACGGTTTTTCTTTTGGAGGTTTTTTGGTGCGTGTTGGGGGGCTGTCGTCGCCGCGGCTGGGCGCATCCCGACCTGCCGGCCAGGATGGGCCCCGGTCCGCGGTCTCTTGCCGGGCGGAGTTCGGAGGATCGTTGTCTTCTGTCGGGCGTGTCCCTCTACAGGGGGATCTCTACAGGGGGACTTTCGACGAAAAATAAAAGATGCCCCCAAAATTCCCCAACCAGGTCAAAAAATACTCAAAAAGTAGCCCCCAGACTATGATTTGATTATTTTTTGTTTATTTTTTGGATATTTTTTATTTTTCGTCGAAAATCCCCCTGTAGGGGGACAGGCCCGACTTCATCGTTGCCCCGAGAACGGATCGTGCAGGAGTCTGGTCGTGGATTTGTGTTTGCCGTCGTCGGGTTCCCACGGCACTCCCCGGGCCCCGGGGCCGACGACAAGGGCTCGGTGTCAAGCAGTGGCCCTGGGGGGAGCCTGCGGGCCAGGACGGGCTTCCACCCGGGCCCCGTGGCGTCACACCAAAGCATATGCAAAAATGGTACGAGGGAGGAGAGGAGGAGGGAGAAAAGAGGAGCGAACGGGAGCGGGGGGGAGGGAAGAGGGAGGAAGGCCCAGTGGGGAAGGGAGGGGGGAGGAAAAGAGGAGGGATGAATGGCGGCCGCCGCGGGCTGGGAATGGGCGTTCTGGGAAAAGCGACACGAACAGCAGTTTCGGCGTGATCGATTTCGGCCTTATGCGTGATGAAGAGGGAGGCGGGCGGAAGGACAAAACAACTTTGATGGAGTAATTGGAGGAAGCCACAAAACAGGGATTTATGATGATGGTGATGTTAGTGATGATGCTTTTGGTGAGGATGGTGATGAACGTGGTGGCGATATGGTTGCGATGAGGATGAATGCGATGAGGAACATGACGAGGGTGTGTATGGTGCTGGTGAGGAGGATTCAGGTGATGGTGATGATGATGGTGAGGATGATTGCGGTGACGGCGTTGATGATGGCAGCTATCATGAGGCGGGAAAAGCAAATGAGGATTGAGGGGGGGATCGGCCGAACAGTCGACCTGTGGGCGGGCTATCCGAGGCCTCGCGCCTACGCCTCCCCGTTCACGAAGCCCGCGGTCGGCGGGAATGAGGGCTTTGGCTCGCCCAGTATCCCTGTCGCGATGTTTGGAGCTGGAGGACTCCCGCGCTCACTCTCTCGCGCGCGGTTTCGCTCTCTCTCCCTCTCTCTCTCTCTGTCTCCCCCCCCTCTCCCCTCCTTCCCTCCATCCCTCCTTCCTTCCTTCTCTATTCCTCTGTATATGTATACGTATACATACATGGAAGCATTGAATTCTGATTTTGTAACCGTGGTCACCTAGTTTTCAAATAGAATTCCTAGAGAGATCCATGTTCGCATAGATCTAAGCAGTTCAATCTAACTTAACGTGACGAGCAGTTTCTCTCAGTTACCATTCGATTGAATTTTGGTTTGAGTTGCGAAACTCTTCATGATGTTATCTCCCTGCCGATTTGTTTTGGCATGATAGTGTGTTGTGATATATACATACGAAATAGGTCGGGTCGGCTGCTAATCGATTTTTTTCGGCGTCATTCGTTTCCAAGCAAACATTCGGCATTCCGGAATTACCAGTGCACGGGTGTGCATGGTTGCCTTTTTTGTGCCTAAGCCCCCGTTTTCTTTTACGCCGCCGTTCAGTACTCGATCGCGTCCGTTTCTATCGAAGTATGAAACCTTTGTGCCTCGAGGATTTGGTTTCCAGGGCCCAGGGATCTTTCTGACAACGTCGAATCGCCAAGACAGGTTGTTCGAAATTATTGTTGCCGCCGGTCTTCCGAAAAGTTCCGAATCGATCGGCCTCCCAGGGTCTCAGGGTCTCTCTGCCTGTGTCCCACAGCGGATTCGTGGCGGCTGTGGGGCATACTTGTAGCAGCATGATATCAACAATTGCTCATGTTCGCGACTTTGTCCTTTTAGTTGTTAAACATTTGCGTGGCCTTTTGATTTCAATCCGCAAGTCCCGCGATAGTTATCGGTGGGGCACGGTCACGCGAGAAAAATGCTCATGATCAATTACTCCGACGGTAGGACCCCGCACGAGAATCTGTTTAGCTTGCCCTTTGCCCTTTCCTCTTCCTCCTGGGGCTCCCGCCTGAGACTTCCTCACAATTCACTCACAGACGAGGCTCCCGCTCGAGACTTCCTCCATATTCATATCTCAAGAGCCCAAAAGTAACGACAGTTGCACGTTGCGGATGACCCGCTCGGATTCAAACATGAAGTGCGGGCCCCATAGGGAGGGGGCTCCCGCTTGAGACTTCCTCACAATTCACTCACAGACGAGGCTCCCGCCTGATACTTCCTCCATATTCAGGCCTCAAGAGCCCAAAAGTGACGACAGTTGCACGTTGCGGATGACCCGCTCGGATTCAAACATGAAGTGCGGGCCCCATAGGGAGGGGGCTCCCGCCTGAGACTTCCTCGCAATTCACTCACAGACGAGGCTCCCGCTCGAGACTTCCTCCATATTCAAGCTCAGGAGCCCAAAAGTGACGACAGTTGCACGTTGCGGATGACCCGCTCGGATTCAAACATGAAGTGCGGGCCCCATAGGGAGGGGGCTCCCGCCTGAGACTTCCTCGCAATTCACTCACAGACGAGGCTCCCGCTCGAGACTTCCTCCATATTCATATTTCGAGAGCCCAAAAGTGACGACAGTTGCACGTTGCGTTCGGATTCTGAAGTGCGGGCCCCATAGGGAGGGGGCTCCCGCCTGAGACGGATTCAAACATGTGACGACAGTTGCACGTTGGGATGACCCGCTCGGATAGAAGTGCGGGCCCCATAGGGAGGGGGCTCCCGCCTGAGACTTCTTCACGATTCACTCACAGACGAGGCTCCCGCTCGAGACTTCCTCCATATTCAAGTTTCAAGAGCCCAAAAGTGACGACAGTTGCACGTTGCGGATGACCCGCTCGGATTCAAACATGAAGTGCGGGCCCCATAGGGAGGGGGCTCCCGCCTGAGACTTCCTCGCAATTCACTCACAGACGAGGCTCCCGCTCGAGACTTCCTCCATATTCAAGTCTCAAGAGCCCAAAAGTGACGACAGTTGCACGTTGCGGATGACCCGCTCGGATTCAAACATGAAGTGCGGGCCTCATAGGGAGGGGGCTCCCGCCTGAGACATCCTCACAATTCATTCACAGACGAGGCTCCAGCGCGAGACTTCCTCCATATTCAAGTTTCAAGAGCCCAAAAGTGACGACAGTTGCACGTTGCGGATGACCCGCTCGGATTCAAACATGAAGTGCGGGCCCCATGGGGAGGGGGCTCCCGCCTGAGACTTCCTCGCAATTCACTCACAGACGAGGCTCCCGCTCGAGACTTCCTCCATATTCAAGTCTCCAAAAGTGACGACAGTTGCACGTTGCGGATGACCCGCTCGGATTCAAACATGAAGTGCGGGCCCCATAGGGAGGGGGCTCCCGCCTGAGACTTCCTCGCAATTCACTCACAGACGAGGCTCCCGCTCGAGACTTCCTCCATATTCAAGTCTCAAGAGCCCAAAAGTGACGACAGTTGCACGTTGCGGATGACCCGCTCGGATTCAAACATGAAGTGCGGGCCCCATAGGGAGGGGGCTCCCGCCTGAGACTTCCTCGCAATTCACTCGCAGACGAGGCTCCCGCTCGAGACTTCCTCCATATTCATATCTCAAGAGCCCAAACGTGACGACAGTTGCACGTTGCGGATGACCCGCTCGGATTCAAACATGAAGTGCGGGCCCCATAGGGAGGGGGCTCCCGCTTGAGACTTCCTCACAATTCACTCACAGACGAGGCTGCCGCTCGAGACTTCCTCCATATTCAAGCCTCAAGAGCCCAAACGTGACGACAGCTGCACGTTGCGGATGACCCGCTCGGATTCTAACATGAAGTGCGGGCCCCATAGGGAGGGGGCTCCCGCCTGAGACTTCCTCGCAATTCACTCACAGGCGAGGCTCCCGCTCGAGATTTCCTCCATATTCAGGCCTCAAGTCAGCGAGTAGTGATGATGATGCTGATGATGATGATGATGATGATGATGATGATGATGATCGTTCGATGCCGATGATGGTGAGTGATCGTGGGATGGTGATGGTGATGCTGATGGTGATGATGATGATGATGATGATGATGATGATGATGATGAGTGGGGAGTGATGGTGATGGTGATGATGATGCGGAGGAGGAAGCAAAGAGGAGCAGAGGAGAGGGGGAGGAGGAGGAGATCCTGCGCGGAGGGTGTGCAGAGAAAACAAGAACCCCACTTAGGATGTGGGGAATAATCCATCGTTTCTTTCATTCAGAACATATGCAGTTACGCAATGTTTGTAATTGGCGCGGGTGTTATTGTAATGCGAGTCTACATCCAGTTGTTGCTTGCCCAGCGTTCCCAGGTTTTGTGTTAAGTTTCGTTGGGGGTGTTTCGACAGGCGAGGTGATTTGTGTTTGGCATAGTTGCTCTTCAGCTTCCTGGAAGACCCATAATGCTTTCACGTGATCTGTTCTTTCAGTTGACTTGTCTACGCCGTGGACCTACTGCTGCAGGAGCAAGAGCTCCATTCCAGCAGGTACAGGAAGCATTGCCAGTCGAATCGAAGAAGGGAACCATAATTGTCCGAAGGGTCCGAGTGATCTTCCACTGCAGCCGCCAATCATATTGGGCATTTGCCTTTCAGAAGAACATACTGAAGTGAAAGAAGAGCAGCCTCTGTCGAAGAACGCACAAGGAGCTCAGAAAGCGTGCAGTTGAAGCGAGCGAATCTCGATATTTTGAAGGGGAAAGACCTCCGCAAGAGAACGCGCGCACATCTTTCAAACGTCATTGGTTTGGGATGAGACCGCTGTCGTGTACGACAGGTAAGACGGTGAAGGCCATTGTCGCCGACTGCGATCGCTGTCAGACATGTACTCGGGCGTCTGCTTTTTCTCACAAGCCTGAGATTATCAATTCTTCCAGAGCGGAGAAAGCTGTTCCATGCGTTGAAAGGGACAGCGAAGTCCTCCTGCCAGGAAGAGACATGCATTAGAACGCGCCGGAAGGTGTGCGACATCACGCACGGCAGTCACATTGCACGGCGTCATGACTAAAGTTGGCATTCATACGATGTAGTGCGATATGGGAAACAATTTCAAACGTGCAGTTGTCTTTGATGCCAGGTCTGAATCGGCATCCTGTAGTCTGTCTGGGCGATTTGAGAAAATTGTGGATAGTATGTTTCAGAGATGCGACAATGTTTGCGGACCATGTGACTTTTGGCGAAGAGAGACTACGGTCTCCATTCGCTGCGTCTAACGCTAGATATCGATAACATTGAGCATCCGGCAGGAGTCTGAATGGATTTCGCATTCAACGCTAACGAGCACGTCTTGTTGTTGGGAGCCATTGGTTTGGTCGGTCTGCGCCGAGGCGAGAAGGCGGGGGTTCCAGCAGAGGGGGGGGGATTTTCGGAGGGTGGGGGGGGGCACCCCCAGGTTCCGGAGGAAGAGCGGGGGGAATTTTCCACAGTAAAGCGGCGGTGGATCACGCTCTCTCTTGCATTTGTATATGTATGTGCATATGCACATGTCTGTATGTATGTATATGTGTGTATACATATATGTATATATGGACGCCCCCCCCACATGATCATACCTATTTGTCTCTACCGCGGCCGCCGATCGATATCTTCACTCTCCGTTTCCTTCTCCTCCCCCTCCCCATCTTCTTTTTCCTCCTTCTCCTCTTCGGAATCAGCGAAATCGCGAAAACCACCAAAAAGCTTCAGAAAACTAACAACACAACAACATAACAAAAACAAGCATCATTTCGGAAGAACCTTGCCGTGCCAGCCGCTCCTCCTCCTTATCCTTTTGATCCTCACCCCTCCTCCTCCTCCTCCTCCTCCTCCTCCTCCTCCTCCTTCTCCTCTTCATTCTGCCCGCTGCTCTCCGCTTCGAGGCGTTACTCACTAATCTAGTTGTGAACGCAGCTCCACAACTTGATTTGCGAGTCACCTCCTTCTACGAAGCATTACTCACAAAACTAGTTGTGAACGCCGCTTCACAACTAGTTTTGTGAGTAATGCGTTCCTCCTCGCCTTCGTCGTTCTCCTCACCCTCCTCTTCTTCCTCCTTATCCTCCTGCTCCTCCCCCCCTCCTCCTGCTCCTGTTCATTTTGCCCCCTCTCCGCTTCGAGGCGTTACTCATCAATCCAGTTGTGAACGCAGCTCTACAAGTTGATTTGCGAGTAACCTCCTGCTACGAAACATTACTCACAAAAGTAGTTGTGAACGCCGCTCCACAACTAGTTTTGTGAGTAATGTGTTCCTCCTCATCTTCGTCGTTCTCCTCATACGCTTCGTGACCCCACTGGGAGCGGGAGCTCCACCGGAGACCCACATACCAGCGCCCGCATGCGCCCACCGCACCCATTGTTCCACCCCTCTCACTTGTTTCGTGGCCCTACAGGGAGCTCCACCGAAGGCCCAAATGCCAGCGCTCGCATGACCCCACCGCGCCTATTTTGGCACACCCACCACACGTTTTGCGACCCCATAGGGAGGTACACCGACGGCCCAGATGCCAGCGCTCGCATGCACCTACCGCGCCCACTTTGGCACATCCCTCGCATGTTTCTTGGCCCCATAGGCACCGAAGGCCCAAATGCCAGCGCTCGCTTGCGCCCACCGCACCCATTGTGGCACACCCCATCGCACGCTTCGTGGCCCCATAGGGAGCTCCACCGAATGACGGTGCTCACAACTGCATTTGGTTGGGTCCCTCGCCAGGCTAATTTGGAACAGAAAAATCGGCACGTGTCGTCGTTTTTTATCCATTGTTTTGCCGATCGGCGCGGGCCCTCGCACACTCCCCTTTTCCCTCTCTGGAGTGGATCTTGGCTGTTTTTGGGCGCCTGTTTCGAGCAGGTGGAGCCTCCCCCATAATGGACGCACTGTCGCAAACAGTCGCATTAAGCAGAGGTCCGGAGCCAGCCCCCCCCCTTCCGCCCAATGTCGAAACGCCGAATAAAACAACGCTCACCATCCCTTGTGGCCGAGCTGCGCGGTGGTAGAGAAGCCGTCGCCCGCATCGTCGCGACGACAAGCTACCCGGCCGCGGGAGGCCCCCTTCCAGACTTCGACGTTGTGGTTTTTGCCAGTGCGCGGCACCCGGGGGAGGTCCCGACCCGAACACTTACCCGGTTTCGGCACGGATTCGACGCGGTTATAGGGCCGCGACGGGACAGACAAAAGGTCCCCCAAAGATGCATTAGGCAGGGGCTCTCGTCCTCCTCCTCCTCCTCTTCCTCCTCCTCTTCCTCCTCCTCCTCCTCTTCCTTCTCTTCCTCCTCCTCCTCCTCCTGTCCGGTGTCGCGTCGGGTGTCCGAACACTTACATGCCCGGTGGTAGCTTTTCATGTCTAGGCCTGCCAGGTGGAGTCGGAGTGCGGTGGAAACCCATGCCAAGAGACGCTCTGCTTGCCTCCATGGTGCCCTGGGTTTCTAGTGTTTCGATGGTTCTGCGATGGGAAGCGTGACGACCCCACACCAAACATCAGCCTACATCAATGGACGTCCTGGGGTCTCAGTGTCTGTTTTCTTGTGAAAAGTTTCTTGTTGTCGGGCCCCTACTGTAGGCCTGCCAGATGGGGTCGGAGTAGATGGGGTCGGAGGATCGCGCTGCATCGCCGATGCGGCTCGATGCGGAGCCCGATTTTATCTTCGCCGGCGTCGCCGATGCATCGCCGATGCATCGCCGATGCATCGCCGATGCATCGCCGATGCATCGCCGAGGTATCGCGGGGTCCGCTTTGGATGGCCCTGGGGCTCGAGAAAGTCGAAGACGAAACAAGTGCATAAGCAGAACTTTTGGCGCTCGGCGCGGATTTCTTGGATCCGCGCTGGGCCCCCCCTGGCGGCGCTTCCGGCGTCGCCCCTGGCCCGCTCTGCGCGTCAGGGAGGGTGGCCAGCGCGGACCCAAGACGTTCGCGCGGGGCGCCAAAAGTTTGTGCGTACAGTCGGGGCCCTGAAGAAGGAACCCTCTTCGCTGGGGAGGGGCTCGGTGTTCCTTGCTCGGTCTGCAGTGTACCTTCGGTTCTCCTGAGGTTTCCCACGGGAAATCGAAGTTCAGCTTGTGGGAGAGAGGGGCCTCGTTCCTTACTTAGGGTTCCTCAGGTCAGCGCCCCGACTGTATGGCGCTCCTTCTTTATCTTCTAGTAGTCGTCAGGGCCCTGGGGCTCGAGAGAGGGCCCCCGAGAGCCGACGTCGGGGGCAGAGCGCCCGGGGGAAAACACTTCGCTGAGATCCCACGTCGCCGTTAAGACCACAAGGGCGATTCACCATCGTCGAGACTCAACATCGCGAAACGCCACGACCAGAGCCCCCCAGACTCCGTTATTCGAGTCCGATCGATCTGAGAGGGTCACGGCGCCCCCAAGCCCGGGCGAAACCGCCCAGCCTGAACCAACGGCAGCCCGCGGTTCCCGGGGGAGAACCGAGAATGCGGACGGACAAATCGGGGGCGACAAAGAGGGGGGTGATGACCCTGACCTTCCAGGAGGGCTAAAAAATAGCACCCGACGTACAAACCTATCCCAAAGCTATTCTACGTCTTGGTTTTAGGCTGTTTCGCTCAGCTTTTTAGGTTTTTAGGTTTCCAGTGCTACAAAATAGCTCTCTGGAAGGTCTGGGGACTAGGGGGGGGTATCATGGCTAGGGCCATGATATCTCCCCAGATTCCATGGCGCCTCTTCTTGTTTCGTTGCGTCCCTGGCCCCCACCCTGGGCCGCGCACGCGCCGCCGGCCATGATTTGCGCCCTCCCCTTCTTGGAAGCCCCCCTCTTGGCCGCCCCCGAAGAAACCGCCTGTGGGCAAAAAGCATACCGTCGGAGAGCCGGGACCTGCAACGCGGCGGTGCGCAAGGTCAAGGTCATTCAAAACCGATAGTTCTCGTTTTGAAGTGAGACTGCCTGATGCGTTCAGAAGCTTCCACTCTTCCACTGCCAGCAAACGAACTTTCACATCATGCATGTCATTCTTAATGGGGTCGACTGGTTCAGAAATGACAACTTTACAACTGTTCATCCGCGCCAGTGGACAAACATCAGAGGAGGAGGAGGAGGAGGAGGAGGAGGAGGAGGAGGAGCAGCAGGAGGAGCAGGAGGAGCAGGAGGAGGAGGAGGAGGAGGAGGAGGAGGAGGAGGAGGAGGAGGAGGAGGAGGAGGAGGAGGAGGAGGAGGAGGAAGGAGGAGGAGGAGGAGGAGGAGGAGGAGGGGAGGAGGAGGAGGAGGAGGAGGAGGAGGAGGAGCAGGAGGAGGAGGAGGAGGAGGAGGAGGAGCAGGAGGAGGAGGACCGTCGGAGAGCCGGGACCCTCGCCAGGGCCCCATGGTGCGCCAGCGGCCTGCGGAGTCGCTGGCGCCGCTGGAGGCACGGGCGGCGGCCAGCCGGCCTCCCGAGCCAGCGTGCCGCGCCGGCTGGCTCTCGGCGACGATCGTCTGGCGGCGCCCGGCGACGAGGGCGCGGCCGAGAGGCAATCGGCCACGCGTAGGAGTGGCCCCTTTAAAACAAGGCTAGGATCGGGATAAATCGCTCCAGAGCGTTCCGGAGCGCTCTCAGAGCGTTCCGGAACGCTCTGGAGCGGCCGCGGCGCCCAATACATCCTCCAAACCCGCCGATTCTCAGAGATTTCGAGTTATCCCGATCCGATTTTGTCCCGATCTTCGCGTCGTTTTACCCTTCGGCGGGTGACGTTCCCAGGAGCGTGTTTCTTCATTTCATCGCTTGGGGCAGAAGGTTGTAGGGGGCGGTCAATGGAGAGGAAGCGTGCTGCCAAATGATTTACAGACGTCTAAAAGGTGTGCCAAACATGTTTTAGATATGTGAGAAACATGTTTGAAACATGTTTAGAGCATGTTTTACACATTTAAAACACATTTTTAATTCAATGATAGGAATGTTCGAGTGTCCATTGTCATGGCATCCACAACTATAACGTAACGCCCCTCCCCCAGTGCGCTCCAGGTAATGCCCATGATCGCCGAAGATAAAGAAACGCGCTCCAGACGTCCAACGTCAGACATCAAGGCGGAGGTATCCATCCTTTGCGTCCTCCGGGGGCCAGTTCCGAGACATCAAGGCGGAGGTTTCCATCGTTTTTGTCCTCCGGGGACCGGTTCTGGGATTTGGGACATTCATAGACGACCCGGTATGAGAAGTTTGCCCCAGGGGAAGGGGTCGGGACTTTGGGAGGACCCAGTCTTGCATCGCATCTTTGGGTGACCTCGCCTGTCCCCCAAATTTGTGTCTTTTCTTATGCCCGGCGCGGGCTCGATGTGGACTCGACGCGGATTTGGCGTGGATTCGACGCGGATCCAGCACGACACGGGTCCGACGAGGCCGACAGGGTTTCGACACGGATTCGACGCGGCTCTAGGGCCGCGACGGGACAGACAAAAGTAGGGGAACGAATAATGACATAAGCGCAAAAACTCGGAGGTCCGAGCGGATTTCTCGGATCCGCGCTGGGGCCCCCCGGCGGCGCCTCCGGCGCCGTTCCCGGCGCGCTCCGCGCGCCAGGGAAGGGGGGTCCAGCGCCGATCCGAGAAATCCCCGCGGACCTCCGAGTTTTTATGTTTGTGTCAGTCTTCGTTTTCTTGAAAAGGTCCCCCAAAGATGCAACGTAACCAGGCCTGATCATACAAAGCAGCGCGTCGGGTGTCCGGGCTCATTGGCGGGCCCAGTGGGTGGTGACACTCACCAGAGACAAAAGTACCACTACCACCAGCTAGGGGGGTGGCTGGCCCACCCTCTCGAGCTGGTGGCACCTCGTTCTGGCATGCCTCCAGAGAGTTCCAGGAAGGAGGTGCCACCAGCTCGAGGGGAGGGAGCGGCCACCCCCCGAGCTGGTGGTGGTGGTACTTTTGTCGCTCCTGAGACACCCCCCGATCGTGGAGTGCGGATGAGCGGCAGCAGCGGCTTGCGCTCCCCCTCACTCCTCCCTGCAGCTTGGCATCGCTCGGACGTGTGGGTTTTCCTTCCGCGCGGATCATCGAGTTTTGATGTTCCTACTTCTTTTAGCCTGAACCACCAGGAAAGGATTTCGAGCACCAAGATGTCGTACCGAAGCTGGAGAGCTTTCACGTGTCGGGCTCTGGGAGGCGATGATTCCTCGTTCGACACCGTCTCGATGGGCGGGGTGCTCGAAACCGTTTCTGGGACCTGGTCCTGAAATGTGATGGGAGCAGCATGACCCTCGAGGAGCACCCTTGACCCCCAGAGCCAAGACAAACATCACGCACGCCATCGACGAAAAGGACACGGGGAACGGACGTCCGAGCGACGTCGGGAGCCTTGGGACGGGGGCCAATGCAACCCGGGGGTGAGCCAGAGCCCGGGGTCTTGCGGGATCCTGCAGGGCCAGGGCCGCACTGACCCGGGCCTGGGTGCGGGATCCTGCAGGATCTCGGCAGGATCCTTCGCATCGACCCAGGTTCGGGCGCAGGGTCTTGCAGGATCCTGCAAGGCCTGACGGACCTGGGGCCAACTGGCCCGGGTCAGACGATCCTTAAGTCGGGCCTGTCCCTCTACAGGAGGACTATTCAAAAATAGTCAAAAACTAGTATGGAGACGGTTTTTTTTTAACGTTTGTTCGGTAATTTTGGGATATTTCTGTTTTTTTATGTTTCGCCCAGATTCCCCCCTGTAGGGGGACACGCCCGAATTAAGACGATACCCGACGATGGCGAGCCCTTGGGGGGCCAACTCCTGCGCGCGGCCGAGCGTGGAGCGCGGGGAGCTCCTCCCTGACGGCCTCGGCTCCTGCTCGGGGGCTGCTGCGCTCGCGCCCCCGGCCCAGGCCGCCAGGACGTCCGCTGCTGTGATGCAGTCGGGCATGTCCCTCTGCAGTTATGGTGTTCCAACCTGCTGCAGCCTGGATGTCCAGAAAGAGTTTCGAGCACCAGAAGAGTAACGAAACTCGAGGGTTTTCACGTGTCGGGCCCTGGGAGGCACTCGTCCGACACTGTTTCGACACTCTTTCGACACCTTTCCGGGTGCTCGAAATTATTTCTGGGATGTGGTCCTTAAGTGCGATGGGAGCAACATAACCCTACAGGAGGGATATTCAACAGTAGTCAAACATTCTCTTAGGTCCGACTAGTTTCGAATCTTGGTTGGCTATTGTTGGTTTTTCTCCCCAAATCCGCCTGTATGAGGAAATGCCCGACCTAATGTCATCAGGACAGTCCTGGAGGCCTCGCGCGGCGCGCCATAGCTGTATCATCAAGTTCGCGCGGCGATGCTCCGACGCAAATCCGACCTGAGTCCGACACAACACCGGCGTGAGCCCGACGCACATCCGACGCGGATCCGACGCACACTGGGTCTCGGGTTGCCGCGCGAGGCCTCCAGGCTTTTCCACACAGCCAACATGTGAGGTCTCCCCGGGGCCTCCGGAGCACCCCTCGCGAGGCCGAGCGGGCCTCGGGGGCTCCGTGCGGGAGCGAACACCCGAGGGCACCCTCGGGCCAGGGGCACCTCGTCAGCAGCCCCCGGCCTGCGCGTAGCCGAGAAGTGAGCGCCGGGAACTCCTCCCCGCCGGCCGCCGGCGGCGAGCGCGCCGCCGAGCGGCAGGAGAGCGCCGGGAGCTCACCCCGGGGCGGGCGAGCCCTGCCTCTGGCGGAGGGTGTCTTGTCGAACGCTGCGTCTCTCGGTGCGATCGAAGTGGGAACGGGGAGGCTGGGCCCGGAGGCGGGCAGCATCGGCGGCGAGCGGGGGCCAAGTGGGGAGGAGAAGGCCTTCGCAGCAGGCGGCGGGGCTTTTCAGAGGCCCTCGCTCCTTCCTGAGGAGTGGATGGTGCCTTCGGGGAAGTCCCGGGAGACTTCTCAGGAGGCCGGGGCAACACTTCCGAGCTTTCCGAGAAGGCCCGCCCCTTCTCACTTCCCCCCCCCCGGCTCACCGCCGAGAGCAGTTCCTCTCCATTTTGAAGGGGATCTGCTGTTTGTGTCGCCGCGGGCCTGGTCCATTTGAGACTGAAGGCCGCCTGCCCAACTGCGGCCGGTGCCTGAACATGAGACTTGTGACTATGCGACGGATCTGATAGGGCTATCCAGATGCCCGAAGCAGTCTCTTTTTCGTTGGTTGGCTTATCGGATTCCTAAGCGTCTTGGCGAGATTCTTATGAAGTGCGAATAATGATGGCAATACCAATTTATATTATGGTACTGGCCCGCATTCTCTCTTCTTCGATTGCATCCCCGAGAGCGTGTTCGAGGTGAAATACCCCAGTTCAGCCCCGAACTGCGGCCGCTTCTGGTTTTGGGCAACGTTCGTTGTTGGGACTCGTGCCAGTTATTTCCATACCATTCTGGACGTCCAGCGAGTGTGTTTTATCAGTTCCGGCATCCAGGTGACGCTTTCGTGCCCCTGGGCCATTCAACAGGGATCTGGGGCGAAAAACTGGAACCCCCGTGTGGGGAAGCGGTCGGGAGCTTTGGGGCCACGCACTGGCAAAGACCGCACCGCCAGAGGACAGGAGAGGGGGGCGAGTGTCGGGCGGGTGGTAGCCGGGGGTGACCTGCATCGGGGGTGAACAAGAGTCGCTTGGCATCGCTCGGACGTGTGCATTTTTTCTCGGCGAGGACCATCGAGGAGCATCCTTGATCATTTGGCGAAAAAAACCACGCACAAAACCGTAAACAAAAACAGGGAATGGACGTCCGAGCGATGGCCAGAGAGGGCCCTGAAGGGGCACTTTGGGGCCCCTTTCAGAGCCAGTGCACGGGCCCCAAGAGGGGCCCTCAAGTGCTCCTTGAGGGCCCTTTTTTCTCGAAGAAGAATGATCACCACCCACCAAACCACCCCAACCCAACCCGAAGGCCTCAATCTGCCCTCCACTTCCAGTGTGTGTGTGTGTGTGTGTGTGTGTGTGTGTGTGTGTGTGTGTGTGTGTGTGTGTGTGTGTGTGTGTGTGGGGGGGGTCGGGGAACATTGAAACAACACAAATGGAACCCGTAGCCCCCCCCAACCCGAAATTCGGGCCTTCGGGTTGGGTTGGGATGGTCTGGCAGACAGTCAAAGAACACGCCATGGACCATGGACGTACACTTTTGGCGCTCCGCGCGGATTGCTTGGAGCCGCGCGGGGCTCCCCCGGCGGCGCCTCCGTCGCCGCTCCCTGGCGCGCGAAGCGCGCCAGGGAGGGGGGTCCGGCGCAGATCCAAGACATCCGCGCGGAGCGCCAGAAGTTTCTGTGTATGGCGTTTGTTGTTGTTGTTGTTGTTGTTGTTGTTGTTGTTGCTGCTGCTGTTGTTGTTGTTGTTGCTGTTGCTGTTGTTGTTGTTTTTTTTATTATTCCTCTATTTTCTTAGTGTTATCCTTTGTTCATCATTATTATTATGTTTAGATGTCCTTCTTCTTCTTATTACTGTATATTATTCGTCTGTGCTATTATAATTATTCTTCTAAGTTCTCATCATTCTTTTATTTTTAATTATTTGTATTATTGTTCGATTTGCTTGTTCTTATCGTTCGATTGTATTATTATTGTTATCCTTGTTAGTCCTATTAGTATTACCATTATTATTATTCTTCTTATGTTTCTTCTTCTTCTTCTTCTTATTATTATTATTCTTATTATTATTGTTTCTTATCATTATTTATTATTCTTATTCTTAGTGTTTCTTCGCCCCCCATTCAGGTTACCCCCCGTTGGCGCCCGCCCGAAGGTGGGAGAGCGGGGGTGGCGGAATCCAGTTCGGAGGGCGGCGAGGCGTCGACGAACAGCCACCCAGGGGGGCCACCTCCAACTGCGAGGTGGTCCACGAGGCCTCCCCGAGCTGCAGAGGGCGGGGGACGTGTCTCGAGCGAGAGGGGGGGGGCCCACACCACCGGGGAGACCCCCTCCCCTGCTCCTCCTGCTCCTCCTGCTCCTCCTGCTCCTCCTGCTGCTCCTCCTCCTCCTCCTCCTCCTCCTCATGATCCTCCTGCTGCTGCTCCTCCTCCTCCTCCTCCTCCTGCTCCTCCTTCTCCTCCTCCTCCTCCTCCTCCTCCTGCTCCTCCGCCTCCTCCTCTTCCTCCTCCTCCTCCTCCGCCTCCTCCTCCCCCTCCTCTCCTCCTCCTCCTCCTCCTCCTCCTCCTCCTCCTCCTCCTCCCTCCTCCTCGTCCTCCCCTCCCCCTCCCCCTCCCCTCCCCTCCCCCTCCTCCCTCCTCTCCTTCCTCCTCATCCTCCTCCTCCTCCTCCTCCTCTCCTCCTCCTCATCCTCCTCCTCCTCCTCCTCCTCTCCTCCTCCTCCTCCTCCTCCTCTTGGGTTCCTCGCAGCTCCTCGCCCTGGTGGTGTTGGTGTGTCGCCTTGCATTTGTTCCTATCCTCCAGTGCGTGCAGCCGGTCTCCGCCCCGCCGCCGGGCATCTTCTCCTCGGTGCATGTGGCCGCCTCCTGGCGCCGGCAGGCGCCAGACAGACCAGCGTCGCACACCGCTCCGGGGGTCGCAGAGAAAGGGCTGTCCCAAGGTGGGGCCCCAAACCCCCTCGCTTTGTGGACAAAAATCGCGGCGGGAGGTTTTTCCATATTTTCGGCCTCTGCAGGGCCCTCACCGGGCCTCGGGATCGTCAAAACCCGGCTCGGGATGAAAAACCCGTCCCGGCGAAGGGGCCGGGGCGCAGACCTTTGGGAGTCGACGTTTTGACCAAGTCACGACGTCGGGGGTCTGGGGCTGGGGAACGGGCCCAGCTGGATGCTCCCGTTTCACGCGTTTCCTTCTTCCAGGGGCCGTTCGGAGCGATGTTGAGCCTTTTTTTATTCATTCTTTTGCCGATCGTCGCAGCGCAGGCCCTCGCCCCCCCCTCCCCCCCCACCCCATGGGGCAGATCTTGGCTGTTTTTGGCGCCTGTTTCGAGCAGGTGGAGTCTCCCCCAGGGGCAGCACTCTTGCAAACGCTCGCGCGGAGCAGAGGTCTGAAGCCAGATTCCCCCCCCCTCCCCCCACCCCTTTCCGCCCAACGTCGAAACGCCGAGAAAAAAATCGCTCACACGTTCCTTCCAACCGCACCTTTGCCCCTGCCCCCGCCTGTTTGTGCCCCCCCATGGGGAGCGGAGCCGCTGGCCCCCCCCTGCGCCGCCCCCCCCCCATCGTCGCCCGCCCCGGTCGTCCGCGGCGCTGAGCGCCCCGCGGCGAGAGAGCGCCGAGGGCTCGTCCGCGGCGGCAAGGGACGCAGACCCCGCCCGCGACCATGGCAAGCATCGCGGCGGAGGGCTTCCCAGAGATCCGACGTCGTGCCTCTTTCAGTGCGGGGTCCCCAGAAGTCGCTCCCCAGGACCGGCCTTTTTCATCCCAACAGAAGTGGTTTTTGGACGGTCCCGGGGCCTGGCGAGGGCCCCTGGAGGCCGAAAGTAGCGAAAAGCTTCCGCCCTGATTTTTTCCAGTGCGTTGGATCTCTGGGTTTGGCTCTCCTGGTCTGCCGCGGCCCTCGCCGGGCCCCAGGGGGCCGTCGCAGCGAGCAGTTCGGGGTGGGGAGCCGGTCCCGGGGTGGGGGCCGGGGGCCTCTGGGGGTCCAAGTGGGAGCCTTTGTTTTGCTTAGATTCCGGCAAGTTTACTTGCATGGCGTTTGGCTCCCCCTCCCCGCCTCGCCCCTCTCTTCAAGGGACCACTAGCGTGCAAGTGCCTGTCGACGTGCGTGAGTTTCGCACGTGCAAGTCGTTAGCGGCTTGCTTCAGGTTTAGCCCCCCCAAGTCAAGCAATGGCGAAGCGTCTTGTGTCGCCTATCGCCCTACCAAACAACGTTCCAATAGCCTTTTGTGGATTCCACGAATTGTTCTTACAACATTTCTGGCTGGGACTGTCTTGTTTTAACGCATTGGGTCAATGTTCTGAGAACCTTGTTTTTGGTCTGAGAACATTGTGGTAGGACTATAGGAATGCGGGGACGGTCGGTCCCTGCTCAAAGTAAACTTGCCAGGGTCAAACAACAGGCTCTCGTGACAAGCCGCGGCCTCGCGGGGTCCGGGGGAGGCGCCTGGCTGGAGAGGCGGACCGCCCACTTCTGATCTTTGAGGGCAGAAGAGCCCCCAACCCTATGAACACGAGGAAAACGTAGCCTCACTGAGGCCCCCGTCTTCGCACTGGGGATCACACATCGGGGCGGTTTGGTTCGGTACGCCTACAGACCCCTATCCCTATAATTAGTGTTCCGGGCCCTCCGAACTTGGGTCCTCTCCCAAAGGGTTTGGGGTCCTCTGATGCCCAATCTCATCTGACAGGCCGCCTCCTTCCGAGAGGCCTCTCGGGTGCCTCTGGGTCACGGTCGCTCAAGGGCGCAGGGGACGACGGCGTTGCGCGCCGCGGTCTGGGTGGGAGAGGTGCCCTCCTCCGCGGGGGCCGCGCGGGAGCGCGAAGGCGGTCGCGGTCCGAGCCCTGCGCGGCGCGAAGGGCAAAGCTGGGCGCCCCGGCTGCTCTCCGGAGGCTCCCGAGAGGCCCCCGACCGTCCCGTTGGAGGCGCGCCGGGTCCTCGACCGGGGCAGGGCCTCTCCTGCCGGCCCCGGCTGCTGCCCTTGCCGCCGACCTCGTGCTCCCCAGGCTGAGCTGCTGATGCGGGGCCTGTAGGGGGATGCGGACTGCAGTCGAGTCTGACCAGCAGGTCGACCCTGCCGAGCCAAGGGGCCCCGTGTATACCACGTCTCCTGTCCTCCGCACTCCAGGGGCGAGGGTCGTGTCCGCGGAAGGGTCCTGTGTCCTCTCGAGCGTCCTCTCCAGTCAGACTCGGCCGCATGGGGGGGGCACAGGGGCCCACTCTAGGGCGGGCGCCCACAGA